AGGTCCAAATATGAAGGTAAGGGTAGTATAGAATTTTAGTATAAGTTTAAACTCTTAGAAGTTCAGGGCATATAAATGTTGAAAATATGCCGCACAGCCCTATATTTTGACCTTTGAATAAAATAGTAGTGCATATAAACTTTCCGTTCTGGGATATTATTTTTCACGAAACTTCATAGTAAAAGTGTCACAGTTTTAGCTGCAAAGGGAGTTCCTATGGGAAATTGCATTGTCTATATTTACAGAATTGCAACCTATATAGGGTTAAAAAATAGAACATACAGAATTTCACAAAATCTGGTTTATCTCAGAGATTTTAAAGAATTTAACTCAAATATGAAGTTTTATAAATATTTCATGAAGATTGAGAAAATCCTGAGCCTTAACTATGATGACTCAGCATAAATTCACAGTTTACAGTATGCATGGTTTACTTAAAGCCCTGAATTCAAAATAAATTCATAATATATGCCTATTTGTGATTTAAATTGTTTAGAAGGGCTTATATTTACTCTCCGCAGTCATTGCAACTCGTTGATCCTTCCTAAATAATTTTGTTAGGTTATTTTTGTGCTGTCGATAACCCAAAAGTAAGCCGTAACACCTAAATGTGTTTTTTTGTGACCACGGCATTAAAAAGTGCAAGCTAGAATTACAAAGAGACCTCAATAAAACTTACAATAGTATGTTCTATCCTAAATATATACTAAATACTCCACATTGCTAGAAACAGGGAAAATATTTAGGAAATGTGAGGCCCCAGGGTGCAAAAAACAGAAAAAAATGCCTACCCTGGGTCATAAAACAGATAATTTAACTTGTAAATGCTATGATTTTATTATTTTCAAGGTCTTTTGTAAACAAAACAATAACTGTGCTGGAATGTTATGCAAAAATAAGATGTAAGCAGTCATTTCTATCAAACTTTTAGTGAATTTATGCACCAGACTGATATCTTCTTAAATACAATTTTGCAAATATGGCTTTGTTTAGACACTTCTAGTTCATACATTAACTAACTTATGTTAGTTATATGGTTAGAGATGATACTGTTGTGACAAGAATTCTTAACTGACCATTTGAGATATAAATTGTGAACTTTCATTGACAAATAGGCATACAGTAAGATGTGGACTGGAGACACAGGCAGGATAGGATACTTTGTATAATCTTGAATGTTGGAATGATTAACTACTAAACAATACATTTATAGTATTCTAAAATGCTTTCAATTTGTTATCAGAATAGTTTCAAACATGTTTTAGACATTTCATGTCAGAAAACATGCACATAGGGTAAGCTGGCAATGATTAAAGTCTTGTTTTCAAATTCTTCTAAAAACTGAAATAGGGGTAGGGGTATAAAATGTACTGTAAAAGGAAACTTAGAGTATATGCAGTGATTTCCTTAAGGCTATAATTCTGATAAATAAGTATTGTTGTGAGAAAAAGTGTTTTTAGAAGGTTTTCTATTTGAATAAATGTTTGTATAGGTTGCACTTTGTAAATACAGCTGTTTCTCAAACCACGCCTCTTTTGGGGAGATATATAATATTCATAGATATGTTAATTTGTTAATGTACTGGTTCCCATTTATGATCTCTGTGTTTCATCTCATAGAGACATCACTTGGGAATGTAACCAGTATAGAAAAACATGGTAGCGCCTAAATTTTAATTCTTAGGAGGTCCAAATATGAAGGTAAGGGTAGTATAGAATTTTAGTATAAGTTTAAACTCTTAGAAGTTCAGGGCATATAAATGTTGAAAATATGCCGCACAGCCCTATATTTTGACCTTTGAATAAAATAGTAGTGCATATAAACTTTCCGTTCTGGGATATTATTTTTCACGAAACTTCATAGTAAAAGTGTCACAGTTTTAGCTGCAAAGGGAGTTCCTATGGGAAATTGCATTGTCTATATTTACAGAATTGCAACCTATAAGCGTTGTAATTGCACTGTATCTACTACTGCATTGACTGTGATACGATAATACCTGCACTTGAGACAGTTTGATTTCAATTTCTTATTAAAAACGCAAGGATTTCCAAGCGTTTGAAATATCTAAAATCTAATTGTTGAGAGTGCAAACTATTGTATCGCACTATATTTGGTGGTGGAATCTGTTTCTATAATGAATCTTTGACTACTTGTATGCAAACTTTTTTCAGTGATACGCAAAGGGATGTGTTCTTTCTATGTGACGTCATCAAGAACGGTACAGTATCTTGTGACGGCAAAATAACAAAAGCAGAGAATTGCATGAAAATTTGACGTCATAATTGATTTATGTAAAAAAAAAAAAAAAAAAACCAGAAATAAAGAGAACCACTCGTTGATTATAAAAAAATAACTACGAGTACTCTCAGATCTGTACTTAGTGTCTTTTTGTTGTGGGGATGTATAAGTACCCATCCACGTCCACTCTGTGCTTTTGTTAGATGTATTTATTATTTGTTATTTGTATCAGTCTGATGAGTTAAGCCTTTTTCAACTGATTTTTGTAGTTTGTTCTTATTTTGTACTGTTACACCACTGTTCCAGGTTAGGGGTAGGGTTCAGTGCTCACAAACATGTTTAAACCCGCCACATTCTTTATGTGCCTGTCCCAAGTATCCTGTAGTTCAGTGATTGGCGTTGGTTGATGTCTGTTATATTCGTTTTTCGTAAATTGTTTTGTTATAAATTAGGCCGTTAGTTTTCTCAATTGAATTGTTTCATATTTTTCATGTCGGGGCCTTTAATAGCCGACCATACGGTATGGATTTTTCTCATTGTTGAAGGCCGTTAGGTTGCCTATATTTGCTTACATCCACTTCATTTGAACTTTGGTGGATAGTTGTCTCATTGACAATCATACCATTTCTCCTTTTTTCATATTTGTCATCATACAGAAATTAACTTTGGTTAACTCTGGTCACCTTACACGGACATTTTCTTTGATACCTCTGTTCACCTTTCACAGATATTTACTTTGCTTATCTCTGGTTACATAACACAGATATTTACTTAGCTTATCTCTGGTTACATAACACAGATATTTACTTTGTTACCTCTGGTCACCTCACACAGATATTTACTTTGCTTATTTCTGGTCACTTTACATAGATTTTTACTTTGATTATCTCTGGTTACATAACACAGATATTTACTTTGCTTATCTCTGGTTACTTTACACAGATATTTAATTTGCTTATATCTGGTTACATAACAAAGATATTTACTTTGTTGCCTTCGGTTACCTTACACAGATATTTACTTTACGTATCTCTGGTTACATAACACATATATTTTCTTTGTTACCTCTGGTCACCTTACACATATATTTACTTTGCTTATCTCTGGTTACATAATACAAATATTTACTTTGCTTATCTGTGGTCAGATATTGACTTCGGTTACATCTGGTCACCATACACATGTAAAATTTGATTTTGGTTACCTCTGGTCACCTTACACAGATAATTTACTATAGTTATCTCTGGTTCCCTTACACAGATAATTGTTTTGGTCACCTCTTGTCAAATTACACAGATATTGACCTTGGTTACTTCTGTTTAACTTACACATATGTTCACAAGTTTAGTTACCACTTCTGGTCACCTTACGAAGATAAATACTTTACGCAGATGGAAAGTTGGCTTGCTATACGCGACACTATAATCGGCATATTTACTCTGATCAGCGTCAAATTTCACTAGATGCTTCTTCTTTGTCATGTTCATGTGTCTAAGTTCTTTCGATGCAGGAGAATCGCACAACGTGATTTAGGTGTAACAACGCATGTAAGGAGTCGATTGACAATTTCATTCATTTTGACTATTTATACTAGCTTTTCTACTCAGTTTTACTATTCAGGTGTTAGTCTATCTATAACTCCTATTGACTGTTTCTCGATATCTACTACAAAGAAGTTATAACAAAAGGCACATATGTGTCTGTATTGCCAACCTGGTGAAAACAACGCTAGTTTGCTAATTAGAACTTAAAATGCACATACTATAGTTACTCTTTGTGTTGATGATCATTTTTTCAATTTACATATTTAACCTGGCTCTAATAGGTTTTAAAATAACAGCCAAAACTACAAAAAAACCCATACTGGGGCAATAACTCCAAAACGGTTATCAAAAATATCAAAGTAAATAGATCTTGTATTGCTGTTCATTTTTGCAGTTTACACTTTTAACTTAGCTCCTAAAGTTTTCAAAATAAAAGCAATAAATGGGATAATTTGGAAAAATGTATAGTTCAAGGGCTCTTACTCAACAGTAGGTTGATAGATTTTTCTGAAATTTTACGTTTGGACCGATCTTGTAATGCTGATTATTTTTGCAATGTAGCTCGAATATTTTTCACGATAACATTAAAAACAGCAAAAAAAAAAACATTATTTCATAGGCAATTACTCCAAAACAGGGTGCCAGATTTTTCTCAAATTGTCAAGGTAGATCCATCTTGTCATGCTTAACCTTTCCCGCAATTTGCACTAGATTCTATAATTTTCATGATAAACAAATAATAATTACCAAAGTCAACATATGTGTAGGTACATTGACCCAAGGTAACCAAAATTAATATATGTGTAAGGTAACCAGAGGTAACCAAATTCAAAATCTGTGTAAAGTGACTAGAGGTAACCAAAGTCAATATCTGTGTAAGATGACCAGAAATAACCAAAGTCAACATCTGTGTGAGGTGACAAGGAGTAATGTAAGTTTGTACCTGTGTAACCAAAGTCAACATCTGTATGAAGAGAATAGAGGTAACCAAAATCAATATCTGTGTAAGGTGAACAGAGGGAACCAAAATCAATATCTGTGTCAGGTCAACAGAGGGAACCAAAATCAATATCTATGTAAGGTGAACAGAGGGAACCAATATCAATATCTGTGTAAGGTGAACAGAGGGAACCAAAATCAATATCTGTGTAAGGTGAACAGAGGGAACCAAAATCAATATCTGTGTAAGGTGAACAGAGGGAACCAAAATCAATATATATGTCAGGTGAACAGAGGGAACCAAAATCAATATCTGTGTCAGGTGAACAGAGGGAACCAAAATCAATATCTGTGTCAGGTGAACAGAGGGAACCAAAATCAATATCTGTGTCAGGTGAACAGAGGGAGCCAAAATCAATATCTATGTCAGGTGAACAGAGGGAACCAAAATCAATATCTATGTCAGGTGAACAGAGGGAACCAAAATCAATATATATGTCAGGTGAACAGAGGGAACCAAAATCAATATCTGTGTCAGGTGAACAGAGGGAACCAAGGTCAACGAATGAGTAACTAAGATGACCAGAGTTAACCAAAGACACAATCTTTTTAAGGGCGAGCAGAGGTAACCATAATCAATATCAGTTTAAGATGACAAGTGGTACCCATGGTCAATACATGTGAAACCAGTCAACATCTGTGTAAAATGAACAGAGGGAACCAAAGTCAACATCTGCGTTAGTTGACCAGAGGTAACCCCAGACAATATCTGCGTTAGTTGACCAGAGGTAACCACAGACAATATCTGTGTAAGGTGACCAGAGGAAACCAAAGTCAACATATGTATAAAGTGACCAGAGATAAACAAAGCCATTGTTTTCTTAATCATTATTCATTAACTTTTTGACACTGTAATACCAGTGTCATTTGACATGGTTAAATCATGAACCTTAAAGAAAACTCATATTCATATTATATGCCAGCAAAAATAAGCTGTTCGCCCTTTAAGAACTAATCGTGGCTGACTTTCACTTTCAACAGGAAATAATGTACTAATTTTTGTCGCGTAGAGACATATATTCAAGCGCTTCTGTTAGGGTTACTTCTTGTCACTTTCAATAGAACTATTTTCCTTGTGCGTTTTGAATTTTGAATTCTGAATTTTACATTCTGAAATATGAATGATCCTTCATGGCTTTTTTAAAAACCACACATATTCTATTGGCGCTTTGAAATTTCAAACAGCATATTTGAACACAAATTCAAATGGACTAATTTTACACCAACAGGCTCTTTGCATTTGTAAGAAAATGTAATTTAAACTTGCAATAACATTGTTTCAAAACTTGTCTCAATGGTAGCTTGTAGTAGTTTACATTTTAATTTGTCTTTTAAGTTTGATAGTTCAATGATGCTTATCTCTACCACACAAGCATGCGAAGCGTATCAGTTTTAGAAGAAGTATACAAAATGACATCTCATATATGCATTTGATACAGTGCATTTAAATAGATATGCAATTTTAATAATTCTGATTATCAAAACTCTATAGAGCAGAGAATGTTGAACTCAACGTAAACTTGTTTTTCAATTTATGCAGAAAAATTTAATCTCCACCAAAAAAAAACCCAATCTTCTTCAGCATTTGTGTATTTGTGCATTTGCCAGCAAAAGCAGATCAGTAATTTAACACGTTGATGACATACCATTAAGTTGTGATTTCTTTTGGATTTGGATTCTTTTTCTAAAAATAACAATAATGGTGAGTTTGAATTTAAGACAAAAGCCCATGTGATAATGTACTATGGCGGTTTCAGAATGTTTGACTGCGTATCAGGTTGTGGCTGCTGAGTAATACACTGTTTGATATTTTTGCCGCTTTTCATCTCGAAAGTATCTAAAAAAATTATAAACAAGATCTTAAAGCAAGATCTAGATGGCTCATAGGGTAGACCTAACAAAATTTAATGAACATTATGAACAGAGTTTATGTACTAATATTAAGTGCCAGTCTTTGTAAGAATCAGGCAATTTTGAAAAAAATCAAAACATGGCCGAAAAAAACCCACCGACCTAACCATCCTATTTTGAAGTTACCCTCATCCTGAGTTAGAAATGGTAGGTCTTTCGTTTCTGTGTGTCTGGTAATTCGAGAAATCTCTTGATAAATGTTGGTTAGAATGATAGCAAATTACGGAGTTAGCTCCCCTTAATAGTTAATTCCTAGTGCATTTCAACTAAATTATACCTTGAATTACCAGAACAGGAAAAGGAAACGAATGTTATATTCGTGCACCATTATACATTTTGAATATAAATTAATGTCAACTTGAGTGGGTTTTTGTTTGTCATGTTTTCACCACTGCCTGATTTTTAGGCAGATTGACACTTAACACTTTACAGTTTATACTTTAAAACTGGTGTCTGAGAAATGTATTTGACTTGGTTTAAACAATATTTTATTCGATAAGTCAAATCATGCTATATAATATAATACAGTATAAACAATGGGATTCAGAAACAAGCAACATTGCTTATTTTAATCTGTCTCCAAAAGAATGTTGACATAGAATATAATGAATACTTGGAGCATGCTCTGTCAATTGGAATATATTAAGAATATTAAATACAAAAAAGATTGATTATATAGTTTGAGAAAAAAGGGAGAAAAAAAACAAAAAAACAAAAAAACAAAAAACAAGTGATTGAAATGAGCTAAATGAAATGCAAGGAAAACATATAAATGATGCTTTTATATTATGGTGTGAATCTTTTACTTTTCAATATGTATTTTTGTACCAATATGTATTTGACTTACATTATCAAAATAAAACTTCGCCAATTTACTTAGTCATGAAATGTTATGATTTAATGCTGCTGAACGTGCATTGGACGTTAATAAACCACAACTCCATAAAACTTTGCTAAACAGTTCAGTATTGTACAAGACTGTATTGATTGCAGAATTGAAATATCTATAAGATATTACCCAATTTACAGTAGAATGAAATGTAGGTCGTGGTGACCTAAATGCTACTGTACTGTATTTTAGAGAAGAAAATATCATTGATGCATTATCAAATTATTACGATCAAATGAATCAAAACAAAATATATGTGATTTGAAAAATGGGTGATATAGAGACAAAAAGTTAAATTACATCCAAAAAACCTCATTTGTGACAAGGCATCATAAAAGCAGCAAATAAAGTTCACGAACTAGTACATTTATTTTAGCCAATCCAATCCCATTCTTGGTTTGTTTGGTATGAGAAAGATACCAAACTCCTAAGACATACTATATATAATACCCAATTCACAGTAGAATGAAATGTAGGCCGTGGTGACCGTAATGCCACTGTACTGTTTTATAGAGAAGAAAATATCATTGATACATTACCAAATTAATACGATCAAATGAACCAAAATACAATATTTAATCGATTTGATAATTATAAAATGGGTGATATAGAGACAAAATATTAAATTACATCCACAAATCTCATTTGTGACAATGCATTAAAAGAGCAGAACATAAAGTTCACGAACTAGTACATTTATTATAGCCCACCCAATCGCACTCTTGGTTTGTTTGGTTTGAGAAAGATACCAAACTTCTAAAACATAATATTTTCAAATAAGGCTTCAAGATAAGATTTTTCCGTTTAATGTTTGACAGAAACCACCGTATATCAAAACACGGATTGGCATCCAACGATACTTTTGCATAACCAGAATATAATATTATAATCAACCCTGAATGTTCTTTTCTCTGTAAAAACAGAATATAATATTATGATCAACACTAGTACTGGTTGTCCTTTTCAATATCTATGTCAGGTGAACAGAGGGAACAGAGGGAACCAAAATCAATATCTGTGTAAGGTGAAAAGAGGGAACCAAGGTGAACAGAGGAAACCAAAATCAATATCTGTGTCAGGTGAACAGAGGGAACCAAAATCAATATCTGTGTCAGGTGAACAGAGGGAACCAAAATCAATATCTGTGTCAGGTGAACAGAGGGAACCAAAATCAATGTCTTTGTCAGGTGAACAGAGGGAACCAAAATCAATATCTGTGTTAGGTGAACAGAGGGAACCAAAATCAATATCTGTGTCAGGTGAACAGAGGGAACCAAAATCAATATCTGTGTCAGGTGAACAGAGGGAACCAAAATCAACATATTTGTTAAAATACCTGAGGTTACCAAGGTCAACGAATGAGTAACTAAGATGACCAGAGTTAACCAAAGACACAATCTTTTTAAGGGCGAGCAGAGGTAACCATAATCAATATCAGTTTAAGATGACAAGTGGTACCCATGGTCAATACATGTGAAACCAGTCAACATCTGTGTAAAATGAACAGAGGGAACCAAAGTCAACATCTGTATACGTTGGCCAGAGTTTACCAACATCAATATCTCTGTTAGGTGACAAATGGTAGGCGAGGTCAGTATCTGTGTAAGGGGACAAGAGGTAACACAGTCAACATCTGTATATATATATGGTGACCAGATGTAACCAAAGTTAATACCTGTGTAATGTGACTACATGTGACCATAGTCAATATCTGCGTTAGTTGACCAGAGGTAACCACAGACAATATCTGCGTTAGTTGACCAGAGGTAACCACAGACAATATCTGTGTTAGGTGACCAGAGGAAACCAAAGTCAACATATGTATAAAGTGACCAGAGATAAACAAAGTCAACATATGTATAAAGTGACCAGAGATAAACAAAGTCAACATATGTATAAAGTGACCAGAGATAAACAAAGCCATTTTTTTCTTAATCATTATTCATTAACTTTTTGACACTGTAATACCAGTGTCATTTGACATGGTTAAATCATGAACCTTAAAGAAAACTCATATTCATATTATATGCCAGCCGAAAAAAGCTGTTCGCCCTTTAAGAACTAATCGTAGCTGACTTTCACTTTCAACAGGAAATAATGTACTAATGTTTGTCGCGTAGAGACATATATTCAAGCGCTTCTGTTAGGGTTACTTCTTGTCACTTTCAATAGAACAATTTTCCTTGTGCGTTTTGAATTCTGAATTCTGAATTTTACATTCTGAAATATGAATGAACCTTCATGGCTTTTGTAAAAACCACACATATTCTATTGGCGCTTTGAAATTTCAAACAGCATATTTGAACACAAATTCAAATGGACTATAATTTTACACCAACAGGCTCTTTGCATTTGTAAGAAAATGTAATTTAAACTTGCAATAACATTGTTTCAAAACTTGTCTCAATGGTAGCTTGTAGTAGTTTACATTTTAATTTGTCTTTTAAGTTTGATAGTTCAATGATGCTTATCTCTACCACACAAGCATGCGAAGCGTATCAGTTTTAGAAGAAGTATACAAAATGACATCTCATATATGCATTTGATACAGTGCATTTAAATAGATTTGCAATTTTAATAATTTTGATTATCAAAACTCTATAGAGCAGAGAATGTTGAACTCAACGTAAACTTGTTTTTCAATTTATGCAGAAAAATTTAATCTCCACCAAAAAAAAAAACAATCTTCTTCAGCATTTGTGTATTTGTGCATTTGCCAGCAAAAGCAGATCAGTAATTTAACACGTTGATGACATACCATTAAGTTGTGATTTCTTTTGGATTTGGATTCTTTTCTAAAAATAACAATAATGGTGAGTTTGAATTTAAGACAAAAGCCCATGTGATAATGTACTATGGCGGTTTCAGAATGTTTGACTGCGTATCAGGTTGTGGCTGCTGAGTAATACACTGTTTGATATTTTTGCCGCTTTTCATCTCGAAAGTATCTAAAAAAATTATAAACAAGATCTTAAAGCAAGATCTAGATGGCTCATAGGGTAGACCTAACAAAATTTAATGAACATTATGTACAGTGTTTATGTACTAATATTAAGTGCCAGTCTTTGTAAGAATCAGGCAATTTTGAAAAAAATCAAAACATGGCCGAAAAAAACCCACCGACCTAACCATCCTATTTTGAAGTTACCCTCATCCTGAGTTAGAAATGGTAGGTCTTTCGTTTCTGTGTGTCTGGTAATTCGAGAAATCTCTTGATAAATTTTGGTTAGAATGATAGCAAATTACGGAGTTAGCTCCCCTTAATAGTTAATTCCTAGTGCATTTCAACTAAATTATACCTTGAATTACCAGAACAGGAAAAGGAAACGAATGTTATATTCATGCACCATTATACATTTTGAATATAAATTAATGTCAACTTGAGTGGGTTTTTGTTTGTCATGTTTTCACCATTGCCTGATTTTTAGGCAGATTAACACTTTACAGTTTATACTTTAAAACTGGTGTCTGAGAAATGTATTTGACTTGGTTTAAACAATATTTTATTCGATAAGTCAAATCATGCTATATAATATAATACAGTATAAACAATGGGATTCAGAAACAAGCAACATTGCTTATTTTAATCTGTCTCCAAAAGAATGTTGACATAGAATATAATGAATACTTGGAGCATGCTCTGTCAATTGGAATATATTAAGAATATTAAATACAAAAAAGATTGATTATATAGTTTGAGAAAAAAGGGAGAAAAAAAACAAAAAAACAAAAAAACAAAAAACAAGTGATTGAAATGAGCTAAATGAAATGCAAGGAAAACATATAAATGATGCTTTTATATTATGGTGTGAATCTTTTACTTTTCAATATGTATTTTTGTACCAATATGTATTTGACTTACATTATCAAAATAAAACTTCGCCAATTTACTTAGTCATGAAATGTTATGATTTAATGCTGCTGAACGTGCATTGGACGTTAATAAACCACAACTCCATAAAACTTTGCTAAACAGTTCAGTATTGTACAAGACTGTATTGATTGCAGAATTGAAATATCTATAAATTATTACCCAATTTACAGTAGAATGAAATGTAGGTCGTGGTGACCTAAATGCTACTGTACTGTATTTTAGAGAAGAAAATATCATTGATGCATTATCAAATTATTACGATCAAATGAATCAAAACAAAATATATGTGATTTGAAAAATGGGTGATATAGAGACAAAAAGTTAAATTACATCCAAAAAACCTCATTTGTGACAAGGCATCATAAAAGCAGCAAATAAAGTTCACGAACTAGTACATTTATTTCAGCCAATCCAATCCTATTCTTGGTTTGTTTGGTTTGAGAAAGATACCAAACTTCTAAGACATACTATATATAATACCCAATTCACAGTAGAATCAAATGTAAGCCGTGGTGACCGTAATGCCACTGTACTGTTTTATAGAGAAGAAAATATCATTGATACATTACCAAATTATTACGATCAAATGAACCAAAATACAATATTTAATCGATTTGATAATTATAAAATGGGTGATATAGAGACAAAATATTAAATTACATCCAAAAATCTCATTTGTGACAATGCGTTAAAAGAGCAGAACATAAAGTTCACGAACTAGTACATTTATTATAGCCCACCCAATCGCATTCTTGGTTTGTTTGGTTTGAGAAAGATACCAAACTTCTAAAACATAATATTTTCAAATAAGGCTTGAAGATAAGATTTTTCCGTTTAATGTTTGACAGAAACCACCGTATATCAAAACACGGATTGGCATCCAACGATACTTTTGCATAACCAGAATATAATATTATAATCAACCCTGAATGTTCTTTTCTCTGTAAAAACAGAATATAATATTATGATCAACACTAGTACTGGTTGTCCTTTTCTCTTTTCATGTAAAAACAGCCTTCCATGAACTTTCATATACTTTTAACAATGATATATTAAATCAATACTTCTCTCATGTTGCATTTCGCACAAGATTTCTGTTAGATAATTAAAAATCTTAACAAAATCTTCGTTATACGTTTTGTTTTTCGAATTTTACAATTTGTCGTGTCAAAATCTAATTGGTTAATATTTTCAAAAGTGTACAACAAAACGTTTTGACTGGCTTACAACGTCCTATACAATGGACATTCAACCAATGGCTTGATGATGTATTTATTTTGGTGTACGAACAATGGATATTCAACAAATAGCTTGACACTGTATTCATTTAGGTGTACGAACAATGGACATTCAACCAATGGCATAATGATGTATTCGTTTTGGGGTACGAACAATGGACATTCAACCAATGGCTTGACGATGTATTCATTTTGGTGTACGAACAATGAACATTCAACCAATGGCTTGACGATGTATTCATTTTGGGGTACGAACAATGAACATTCAACCAATGGCTTGACGATGTATTCATTTTGGGGTACGAACAATGAACATTCAACCAATGGCTTGACGATGTATTCATTTTGGTGTACGAACAATGAACATTCAACCAATGGCTTGACGATGTATTCATTTTGGTGTACGAACAATGAACATTCAACCAATGGCTTGAAGATTTATTCATTTTGGTGTACGAACAATGAACATTCAACCAATGGCTTGACGATGTATTCATTTTGGTGTACGAACAATGAACATTAAACCAATGGCTTGACGATGTATTCATTTTGGTGTACGAACAATGAACATTCAACCAATGGCTTGACGATGTATTCATTTTGGTGTACGAACAATGAACATTCAACCAATGGCTTGACGATGTATTCATTTTGGTGTACGAACAATGCGATTACCTATAGTCCTTTAGATTATGAAACGGCAAATTGATCTGTCTTAACTTTGTCGGATTCAAACTACAAATGTATTTAACCTTTCGAAAGGTAGTGCTTCAGTTCGAAGTTCGAATACTGTAGACAACTAGCTGTAGACTTTGTCTACATTAAATGCTGTCACATTATACTCGTGTGTTAAACGTTGAAAAGGATTGGTATGCACGTCGTTGATTCAGTATTCGTGCGTATATAGTATTATTCTAAGAGGAGTATGTTTAAAAACCAAAACAAATTAAAAAAGTATATACAGGGACAAGCAATAAATATAATATATTACGATCTGGTACGTAATTCACTATTTCTGTGTTGAACTCATAATCGGAACACCGACTATTCTGCGACGTTTAAGATGTTAAAGTGACATTTAAACTTCTGACAGCCTTAAACAGTGATACCAAATTGACTATCGGGTTTCTCTAGAGTGAATGGGAAGCGGAACACAAACGAAATATGACGAAACGAAATTAAACAGGACGGAATTTTTACTTTTCATTATTTTGCGTATTCCATGTTTCATTCTGTTTTAAAATTAGTCGACTA